TTTAATTTTTTCTAAAACTCTCATATTTTACGGGAAGACCATATTCTCATTGTATTCTTCTCTATATGTAAAGAGAGCTCTTCAAGCATCTGCTGGGAAAAATGCAAATCATGAAAAGATTTGTGGTTCTCATTTATTAATTATTTATCGATTTAATATTCACCACAAGTTGGTGAGTGGTTAGATCTATTACAGTAGTATGCGGCTTATATTTACTTGGCCTATATTATTTAAAGGAGAACTTCATTAGTTCAGACAATCAGACAAAATTATGTGTCTCTTTCTTGTGTCACATTATTACTCTGAATGGTGTGTATGCTCCAATCCTTGCTCCAGGCGCACGGAGATGGGGATTGCTATGTTAATCTTCGAGGGCGACACCGTTATTATGAGCCTACACCGGTAGTGGTGAATTCGCTTATACGACAGTGGTTATATCACGACACAAAATTTTTTTATTTTCACATTATCAACTTAAGTTTTCCAACAATATAGAAGCGAATTTGATTATAATGTTGATAATAGTGAATGAGGAACCAAACCAAAATTAAGAACGTCATCACCATTGCTCATTATGTGAAGGCCAAGTTAGTCCTTGGCGTCTCTAACCAGCACATCTATCGCTGCCTCGGACGATGTTATGGATGTGAAGGGCATGGATATTCATATTATTGACGAACTGGAAGGTGATGCTGGCTCAGTGTTGGTGTGGATAATCGAAGGCAACGTTCATCACTTCATCCTGTTGCTAACAAAGCTAAGTATTACCTATGAACTAATGTATTTGTTTGTACTTGTGTATTTAAGAGTATCAAATAGTGTATGCATGGATATATTATGTATATGTATGTATGCCCGCATACGCTATGCTGTTTTCCAAGTTTCCTATACGAATTATTGGTCCTTGTATGTATTCATATGTGTCAAATTACGGCATAATTTCTGAATTAAGGTTATAATTTTATGTTGTTGATTGGTATTCTGTTCAGTGTACATTTGCCTACAACATGTATTTGTGGGTTGGCTATGCGTATAATTGATGATTGGGTTATGTGGGAATGCTATTGGGATTTAATAATTTCAATGTTTTAATTTTGTATTTAGTTCTATTTGGTATGCATGCGCCATATATTATTAGTGATTTGCTTATGTATATTTGACAACTATATTCATGAGCCCTAACTCAGGTATCATTTCTTCACTTGGATGTTAAAATTCTTATTTCTTGTAACCAAGGTTCTTTCTGGTGCTAGTTATTAGTAATTAACTAATATTACATAAAAAAAAATTGAGTGTTTTTGTGGTTTTGTAAAATATAAAATTGTATTTTCATTGAGGTGGTATATAAATTACATGTCTTGGCAATTATCATATCAATGTGATAGCAGATATTCCGGCATGAAATCAAGTGGATATGGAGAAGAAATCAAATAGCTTGATATCTACGAGAATTATGGGGTTATATGGCTAGTGTGATAATCAATAAGCTCTTTGAGACATAATTGTCAATTGATTGTGAGAGTCAGCTATGAAGTGTCTATTAAATCATACATTAACTTTATTTACGATTGGTAGTCAATAAAAATGAATGACCAAAATATGTCAAAATGCTTAATTTCTTTCAAAACATCAAATATTATTTATTTGAGGATATTGTATGTATGTATTGCAAGCATGAACTAAAATCACACTGATTGAAATAAATATTGACATAGATATTACTCCAGTATTGTACTGAATGAATATGAGATGCATATATATTATTGCCACATGATGATTTCAAAGATTTGAATCAAGTACTAGAATTATTTGTATAAACACAATAAGCATATATCAAAGGCTTTAATTGTAATTTATTGGTAGCATGGAAGAGTCATCATTCTTGAATATTCTGACTAGAAAGATGGTTTTAATTTTAAGTAAACCTCGGATTCACAATTCGACCTGAGAGTTTTTTAAGAAGTAGGATGTTGATTATGTAGGCTAGTTAAAGCGCCACTTATTCTCACCTGAAATGAGATTGATTGCGCCACTTATTCTCACTTGAAATGAGATTGATTTTCACATGATTTTAAAAATCTAAACCTAAAATGAGCCAATAACGCCTCTACTAAGGCTCGAACTCACAACCTCCCATATGGGAATCCAACCCGGGTGCCATTTGAGTACAAGATGTTTGGCTTCTCTCAGAAAATTATGTAAATTTGTGATTATGTTGTTCAACCTGAAGCTAAGTGATAGGATGTAGTTTAGTAGGATGAGAAAGTGTAAACGAGCATGGAATCCCCGAGTGTCGGTCTCACAAGGATGACAACTTGGAGTAAGTGGAGTGCAAGACAATCATAGTAAGGCATTCACAAGAGTTAACTAGGTAGAAGCAAGGTGTAGGAAGGCATGTATTCAAAGGTAGAGGGCAAGAATGTAAAGACAACAAGAAATTAAAATATGTAAAACAAGGAATTAGATGGAAAACACTTGATCTTATGCATTCAATGGCCTAAGGTAGACAAGAGGTAGTGCAATGCAAGACTAACTTAAGGGAGGTCGCTTTGCCTACACTAAGCTGATACGTACTTAGACTATTAGACCACACCGTAGAGTGACTAAGGCATTTCCTCGAACACGTAGCCTACGCCTCCTCCTAGGCCTTGCCCTCTCGGATCGGAGGAAGGGGAAAACAAATGAGTAAGACTACATGGAAGCACAATCTCTTGCTACTTCCACTCTCTCATAATTCTAACTTATTGGGATCCTTCAATGAAGAGAGAATCCATACACAACTCATTCACAACAAAAGTATCATAGGTCAAGCATTACACAACATCTCATCAATTCATCAATACAAATCAAGAATGCACAATCTCAAGTCAATCCAATCCAATTCCTAGAAGATCTAGCCGCCACTCAACATCATTAATTGAAATTACAAAGCGATTGAATCAAGCCAGTAATGTAGATTAGGGAATTAAAAGATAAAAGATTAAATGTTACCAACTTGAATCACAAAGTGAGATCAATCTACAAATTGGATAGAAGATCACCACAATATAGGAGAGTTGTCAATTCTCCAAGCTTCTAGATCACTCCTTCCTTGAACAATTAAAGATCTACAAGTGACTAGTTGAATCTAGCTATCCTCTAGAGAGAGAAAATCTAACACCTAAGAATGATCTAAAAAATATCTAAAAGTAAAGACAAGATTCTTCCAACAATCCCGCCAAACAATCTTATTTAAAGAAGCAGGGTCCTCAGCATACAGTTGCATACGCTCTCCAATCTCGGCTTTTTCCCCGGTCACGAATCGTGGATCCAGTCGTAGAACCTTCTACTCCTGATCCATGAGTGGTCCATGATCGTGTTTCCCTCATGGCAGGGTCTTCGACGCTTTTCTCCATTGCATTCTTCCTTGGTTGCTCCGGTTCAAGCCTATATGTCTTTCTTTAAGCTCAAAAGCCTTCAAAACAATAATGTGTACATGTTTATAGGGAAATTGGAACACATTAACACATTTCAAAGCATTTACAACATAAATCAACCACAAAGACTTCTAGTTAAGCACAACACAACCCTTAAATGGCCCATAAAAAATAGTATCTTTGGCACTTATTACTAAGTATCATGCAAACAACATTATTTTTGTGACTTATTGTCAATGAGCATTTATACATATGATTTAAAATCTTGGTTGAGTCATCTTGAAGGACCCCTATAATTCCTGTTTAAAGGGTAATTATGGTGGTTTGAGGTAACCAAGTTTGTTGAATATATTCAACTAATGAGTATCCATTAATTAAGTGCGGAGCTACTATAAAGTTTCACAAAGAAAATGTGTAAAACTCAATCTAAAAAGGAGCAAATTTTGGGCACCACCGCACCAAAGACCAATCTGGGTAAGAGATCATGTACTTTTGAGAAAAGTATTTGTAAGTGTTGCATTGTAGGGGTAATTAACTCCTTATATTTCTTCCTTGTAAGTCTCTCTGTGGTACCGAAAATAATGATAAAAGGGAATGTTTCATGTTAAGCATGAAAATCTCAAGGGAATTATTTGGGAGTCAATAAAGTACTCGTCAAAGTGTACGTAAGTTTGATTGAGAGGATCAACTTACTTTAATAGAGAAGACTAATTATGAGGTTAGTGGTTGAATTATTGATGGAATGACTTAAAGCTCAAGAGGTGGTGAATTCGTGGTGGATTCCACTTTTGTTGTCAAACGAAGGCATGGAAAGAATCATATAGTAGTACACTAATTGGTCATTCCCTATGATATGTGTACTAGTAAGGTTGAGCTACAGCTCTTAATAAATTTATAATGCTATGAGATGTGTGATCTTATTGAGACGGACTTAATGAATTCACCGCTTAATAATTGAGAGGGTGAACATAAAATGCTCTTAATGATTTCATACCGTAATCTGGGTTGTCTATATTGAGATAGACTTAATGAGATCACCTACTTGAGTGAAAGGGTTAGCCATCTTTTATGAAAGATAATGCGCTATCTTTCTTGAGCACTCATGATCAATCCGAAGTTCAATTGGGCTAAATATATATGTAGTTTTTTGCGGAAACTTACACAAGGTCTAAGGTGTGATGCGTGTCACTTTGGTTTTGCGAAACTTACACAACTTTAATTGCTTTGTTAACCTTTGGTGGCGATACCGTTGTTGTGAGCATGCACCAATAGTAGTGAATTCGCTTCTAAGACCGTGGTTATAACACGACACATTGTTTTTTTTTTTTTTTTTTTTTTTTTTTTTTTCACAATATCAGCGTAGCTAATTTCTCCAACAACATCCTGTAGCGAGCGTTTCATTTTTTTTCTGATCATCCCATTCCGTAGCCAATATAAAGCCAGCCATGCACCTTGGGTCCTTGGCATATACAACACTTTGCTTGTAATATATTTATAGACAACCTTCAAAGCATTGTCTATCTCTGTTTTTATGCCGCACGTAAGCGTTGTCTATCTCTGTTTTTATGCCGCACGTACGGGCAAAGGGTAAGTTCCTTAAATATGTGTGATGTTAGGTTTTGATGTATATAGTATATATATGCCATAAATTAACCTCATCATATATACATAAATTCCCAAACATTCTTCCGATCCCCAAGTCTCACCACCATCATCATCATCATATCCCATCCTCAATCACTCTCTTCTGCTCTACTCTTTCTTCCCGGCTTCCTACATGGAAACTTCCACAGGGCATGTGCTTCCCGGATTAGGTTTCTTTCTGGTCGGTTTATGGCACATGTTGAACCAGATAAAACTCCATGCCACGCACCCAAAATCCCACTTCTCTGTCCTATGGTTTCCATGTCCAAAAATCAGATACTTAGAGCTTTACATTATAATCTTGGGCAGCTTTGCCTTCATCTCCAAGGAGGTCTTGATGGGCCTTCAAACTCACACGTCTCTGGACCGCGACGGGACCATACCCTTCCACCAGCTCCGCAAGTTTGAGCACGCAAACGTCGCCACCGCCCTCATTGTGCACGCGGTTTTTAGCATGGTTTTGGACATGGCAGACCCTCCGGCTAAGCACGGGATGGCCCAGCTCTTTGGGGTCGTGGTTTTTGGGCAAGAGCTTCTGAGTTTTAGCATGCATTCCACTGACCATATGGGGGTTGAAGGGCAGTACCATTTCTTCCTGCAAATCATCATTCTCGTGTCCTTATCCACTACCCTTATCGGCTTTCCTTTCCCCACCAGCTTCATGAACAGCTTCGTGAGGTCTTGCAGCGTTATGTTCCAAGGGATTTGGTTAGTCGTAATCGGAATCATGCTTTGGACGGCGAGGTTTAGCCCGAAAGGCTGCCTTTTCACGGAAGAATATGGGCACCATGTGGTCAAGTGTCGCAGCGAGGAAGCGGCCATGCGAGCCAAGTCCCTCGTCAACATTCTGTTCAGCTTGTCCGTGATTGGATTCACCATTTTTGTCGTCACTGTCTACTTGGTGCTCGTCAAGTGCTACTCTGAAAATATCGCCTACGAGTCGTTGTCGACCAATAAGTTTGAGGATAATGAAAAGGAGAATTTGATTCATGATGTTGAGTCGCAGAAGGGTTTCGTTGAGATGGGGAAGTTAATTGTGTGCCACGGTACGGTAGACATGAAATGATGACTTTTTTTTTTTAAATTTTTTTTTAAGCAATTAAGTGTGGTATATATATTAATTCAGGATTATGATGTGTGAAAAATGAAATGTGTGATAAATTTTAGGATAGTATCTTTCATTTGACTTGGAATTGTGTGAATATAGAAAAGTACTTTGAGTTCTTATAAAATGTTTGAAGAATAATGCTATTTAAAAGTGTGATGAGACCTTACCACCCCAAATGGGCGATCAAGGATCAAATTGGGTGGTATAGTCATTGATTCTTTGGGTGAAAAAAATTAAAAAAAGTATAGAACATATATTATGCTGTCAAAAATTACAAGTGTTTAAAAATAATATTCTAAACATACACTCTTTTACACAAAATGGGTCCCCCTCTACATCCTATTTATACATGGCAAGGAAAAAATTTCAAAATTCATTACGAATCACGAGACAAACAGTGAGCGGCCAACACGTATTTGACGGCGTGCACGAACGGTGATCCATGTTATGCTCGGTGTGCGTGCGCATTCAATCCTAACTCGGAATGGGATTTTGAGAGTTTTACTCAGATATTTCAATTCGAACCCTTCCTCATCGAACCGGCGTCAAGGCACGGATTGGTGAGCTACTTGATAGGAAATACTCCTCGGGTATAGCTCCACTTTATGAGGCACGTACCTGCTCGGTATGCGGTCAAGTCACTAAGAAAGACCATTCCCGAGCATTACCGACCTCTTTGCCCACAGACCTGACCAAAATGGTAAGATTGAGCAGGGCATGATCAACATTAGTACCTATGGTTTGAAAATATATGGTAGATGCATGTGCATAGTAACAATAATGGAAAAGATAACGGAAGTTATAACGGTAGGAGTATGTTTGTCCAAAATAGTCTAAAGTAAAACTTTTATCACATAATGTATAAAAAAATTTAACGGAAAAACGGATATAAATGAAAGGTATAACCTTCATTTACACTTATTATGTTTTTAGATTTAGATATTGATCTCAGCTGTCTATTAAGGTTCATTAATAATTGCGTTTTAATTTTTTTAAAAATATATAAAGCCAATTTTATAATTACTGAAAATTTTCAAAAGAGTTTATTACCGAAATGGTCCTCCAATTTATTACCAATTTAGTCCTCGACAATTTTTTGTAACCAATTAAGTCCTTTGACTTTGATAATGTTAACCATTTTAGTCCTCTGTTAGGTCAGGTTTAGAAGTCTGTTAAATTAGAGGGCATTGGTGGAATTTCACATTAAAAAAATCCATTTCTTATATTATTTAATTGATTAAACCATTTCAATTTGAGAAGACCCATTTGCAGATCTCTGTTTATTTCCGGTGGTGTTCATATGGTTTGGAACTTTACGGTGGTTATCGGCTTTTCCGGCGTTGTGTGGTTTTTTCGGAAAGCTCAACCCGTTATGAATAGGTAGGATGTATTTCTGGCGTTGGGAGTATTTTTCGACGAAAGGGAGACGTCCAGGTGGTGTTCTTGGTCTATAAAATGGTTTGATTTCTGGATGTGTGGAATTGCAGTGGTGTTTTTGGTTGTTCGAGGCTTGTTGTTTGATTTTTCTGGTGGAAACTAGATCGTCGATTTTCCTCCCAGTCGCCATTATTGGTTACTACATACGCTTTCTGTTTCTTTATTTGCATAACTCAAAAGCTTCGTCATTTTTGTCCTCTAAATCTCCCCAACAAAAGGGTTGTTTTGTTTGTTTGTTTGTTTTCTTGCATTTTCCACTCCCATTAAGATGCAAGATCCATCAGGTTCGAAGCCATTGCCAACCAAACACTGCCGTTTCCCTCTGCATTCCGGCAATCGCACCACCGGAGGATCTAGATCTGGCGTCCGACCCCTTTGACACCGCCGTATTGGCCGGGAGCTTCGAGGAGATGGGATCCGAGGACGATATCTTCTCTACTTACATGGACATCGAGAAGCTCAGCGCCGGATTCGGCGCCGCCGCCGATGCTTCTGCGGCGGTGGGGGCGGAGAGCGGCGGCATTGGAGTGAAGAGCTTGAACCAGTTGCGCCATCGCCATAGCAACTGGGTGGATTCAAATTTGCTCTAATTTAACTATATCTAATGTGAAATTCCATCAATGCCTTCTAATTTAAGAAACTTCTAACACCTGACTTAACGGAGGACCAAAATGGTTAACATTTTTAAAGTCAAGGGATTTAATTGGGTAAGAAAAATTATTGAGGACCAAATTAGTAATTTTACCATAGTTGGGGGACCATTTCAGTATTAAACTCTTTTCAAAATCTTCCCAAATTTTTCAGCTTCTCAAAACCTTCCCAAATTTGCCTACTGTTTTTTCAAAAGTTCCCAAATCCAACTATTACTCCACACACACATATAGGGAAAGTTCATGTAAGAACGACTCACCATCTAAAAAGTATAGACATATCCACTCCCTCCATAATTATAAAATTCATCTATATTTTATTTGTTAAAAAAAAAAAAAAAAAAACTCTCAACTATTGAACCATGATGAAAACGACTCATATTGAGTTAATACCCAAAATAGTCCCTCGACTATGTCGTAATTACCAATTTGGTCCTCGACTATCATTCTTACCCAATTAAGTCCTCAACTATACAATTTTTACCCAATTTAGTCCTTTGTCAATTTGACTGTTTGTTGACTGTCAAAAGTGGAAATAAAGTTGTAATTTTATAAGTTTCTCCTTCCTCCTCATTTAGCAGCGTCAAACCATGTAGCAATAAGCTCCGGTTGGGTTCTAAACCTGTCAGTATCGAAGTAGTGGTTATGCATCGGATAGCCCATGAATTTGATTTTCAACGATTTTTTGACGATCGAAATCTGATCGGAGTGTATTGCTGCATGGTTTGGCGCTGCTAAATGGAGAGGAAGGAGAAATCTTGTAAAATTATAATTTTATCCCGACTTTTGACAGTCAAATTAATATAGAGGACTAAATTGGGTAAGAATTGTATAGGTGATGACTAAATTAGGTAAGAATTGTATAGTTGAAGACTTAATTGAGTAAAAGTTACATAGTTGAGGACTTAATTGGATAAGAATGGTAGTTGAGGACCAAATTAGTAATTATGGCATAGTCGAGGGACCATTTTGAGTATTAACTCTAATATATTTATAGACAACCTTCAAAGCATTGTCTATCTCTGTTTTTATGCCGCACGTACCGGCAAAGGGTAAGTTCCTGGGTCAATGATTGAAATAGAAAGAAAGTAGAAGAGAATGACAAAAATGTGAAAGATTTAAAAAATATATAATTTTGAAAATAAACTGGGACAAGCATTTCTTGATCGACCTCAGCTTGTGTATACCGTTCCTTCTTCACCTCTGTATCTTGTTCGTGGAATCCTCGTACCCCTCTCAGGATTTGCTCTAAAACATTACCTGGGATCCCATGATTCACCACCTGGAAGAATCCCCATGTTGCAGATGCTTCTCCGACTGCCTCAAAACCTGTCTGCGCTTCATCTCATTCCCATGAATGCCTTAGGTCTATGATTGGGATTTTGGGTTTGTTGGCAGTGGAAATTGATGAGTAGTTTTGGGTTGTTTTTGGATGAATGAATATTCCTGGGACTTTGGTTATGCAGATAGGTGTGAGACGAAATTGCCACTTGCTTCTGGTTGTTTTTAGAAAAAAAAAAAAAAAAAAGTTCTATAGGAAATTGTACATTTTTAAAAACCTCCCATCTTTGTCATTGGCTTCTACTTTCTTCATATTTCCGTCATTGACTCTAAGTTCCTTAACTAGTTGTGTTGTCAGGTTTTCATATTCATATATATAAATTCCAAAACACTCTTCCCCAAGTCTCACCATCATCATCATCATCTATCACATCCCATCCTCAATCATCAATCGGCTTTGCTCTTTCTTTCCGGCTTTCTACATGGAAACTTCCACGGGGCATGTTCTTCCCGGATTATGCTTTTGTCTGGTCGGTCTATGGCACATGTCGAACCAGATAAAACTCCATGCCACGCACCCAAAATCCCACTTCTCTCTCCTATGGTTTCCATGTCCAAAAATCAGATACTTAGAGCTTTACATGATAATCTTGGGCAGCTTTGCCTTCATCTCCACGGAGGTCTTGGTGGGCCTTCAATCTCACACGTCTCTGGACCGCGACGGGTCCATACCCTTCTCCAAGCTCCGCAAGTTTGAGCACGCAAACGTCGCCACCGCCCTCATCGCGCACGCGGTTTTCAGCGTGGTTTTGGACAAGACAGACCCTCCTGCTAAGCACGGGATGGCTCAGCTCTTTGGGGTCATGGTTTTTGGGCAAGAGCTTCTGAGTTTTAGCATGCATTCCACTGATCATATGGGGGTTGAAGGGCAGTACCATTTCTTCCTGCAAATCATCATACTCGTGTCCTTATCCACTACCCTTCTCGGCTTTCCTTTCCCCACCAGCTTCATGAACGGCTTCGTGAGGTCTTGCAGCGTTATGTTCCAAGGGATTTGGTTACTCGTTATCGGAATCATGCTTTGGACGCCGGGTTTTAGCCCGAAAGGCTGCTTTTTCACGGAAGAACATGAGCACCATGTGGTCAAGTGTCGCAGCGAGGAAGCGGCCATGCGAGCCAAGTCCCTCGTCAATATTCTGTTCAGTTTGTCCGTGATTAGTTTCACCATTCTTGTTGTCACCATCTACTTGGTGCTCTTCAAGTGCTACTCAGAAAATATCGCCTACGAGTCGTTGCCGAGCAATAAGTTTGAGGATAATGAAAAGGAGGATTTGATCCATGATGTTGAGTCGCAGAAGGGATTCGTTGAGATGGGGAAGTTAATTGTGTGCCACGGTACGGTAGACATGAAATGATGACCTGTATTTTTTTTTAAAGCAATTAATTGGGTATCTACATCTACCTCTACAAACCTAATAATAAGAGCAAATAAAGATAGACACCTAACAAGAACTAAAAAGAGTTGGTGTAATTATTTGTTGAAGTTAATGGTTCATATTTTTTTTATTTTAGTATTTTTTTAATTGTTTTTTTCTATTTTACCATCTAGTATATCTTTTTTTTTTTTTTTTTTCCCTAAATACCATTGTATTTGATCTGTGTAAACTTTAATAAAAGATTATTCCGTTAACTATTTAT